CGATACCCTTTACTCCCTCGACATTCTGGACCCTTCCGAGCAACTTCTTCAACTCCTCAGCCATGTTCCGAATGAGCAGGTCCTTTTTGGTAGGTTCGGGTGTGTATAGGGTTTGTTGCGGTGTGTATGGTAGAGTTTCCATGTATACGGGGTTGCTTTAATTGGTTCCAGGGACTTGAGTGTATGGATGGTCATTGATGGATGCTTGGGATGGATCGTGGGTAGGTTGTGGTACATTTTGAGGAGTGGGGTAAGTGGCGGTTTGCGGGTATGGAGTTTTGTGTGGATGGCATTGCTGCGGAACTTAAAATGGTAGAGGGCTCAGGTTTTGTGGAGGGTGTGATGTCGTGGTGCTGCTGAATGGTAGGGAATTTTTTGGATCTTGGGGTTGCAGGTTCTGGGGTTTTGGATTCTGGTTTTGCGGTGGGTTTTTAGTTATGGCATTTTGGTTATTGATATCAGGGACGTTTAAGGTAAGGACAAGTTAGCGAGGTTGCGGACCTGCTCTAATTCACCCTGTAATTCCAAAATCATTTGTTCTAATTGCAGAACCAATTTGTTCTGCCCTGGTGTACTTCTTCCATCTAATGTCTCCATGTTCTCTGCTAAGGAAGCGTTGTTTTTCCGATTGCCACTCAATTCACCCACCTTTCCTTTACCCTTGCTTTTGATGTCACTAGGAGGGGGAGGAGGGAAGGACCTCTAGATCTGGTGTAGTATGCTGATATTGCTAGAGTGCACGAACCAACCTTTGGTAATGGGAATAATCAAAAGAAACAAAACAGAAGGTAGCCACGTCAGTAAGGCAAAATAAAAGAGTCTTGGAGTATTTAAACAAATACCATATAAGGCATTCAATCATTCGCATCCTAATTTGGGGATCTCGTTTTGCCTGAGGTAGGCCTAGGCGACAAGTAAACATGGAGAAATTTGTTCAAACATTTTTCATATCATTAATGTCAAAATAAATCAAACCATTCTATTACTAAATTGAAATAATGACATAGAGTTACTAGTGGTATAAAGCCTTACTACATCAATTCTAAAACGAAATCTAACTATAAAACATTTAAAGAAAACTCTCCTATTCTACTTGGTCTTGGATAGCCCCTCTCTAAGTCTTTATCTCTTTTCTCTATCAATCATGTTCCCAAGGGCACACATGTCGAGAAACATGTAGGACATTGCTAGCTTTCCTCCTTCATCATAACCCATACCATGGCAGTCCCAAAGTCTTTCCTAATTTTCTCCTCGAACTCCATCAACCCTTGCTCCAAATACTCCAATCTCTCTGCTGATTTGTTTTCTATATCTCTCCACTCTGTTATTTCATCCATATATTTCTTATGCTTTTCCAAGTGCTTGGCCTTGGACTCGAAGACCCTCTTGTGAAGCCTCTTGTATTTTACCTGAGCTTTGGCCTCTTCATCTACGATCCTTCCATTTAGCTTGATTCCAGGTTTGACATCTCCGGTTATGTCATCTTCCAGTCACGAGAGGTAATAGTACATGTGTCCACATGATGCCTATCGAGCTCTATGGTCTCTTCTTCCACAATGATTTTCTGATTTCACATATGCTGAGCCTCAAACATAAAATGAATGACGTCCCTTTTGAAATCTGCCATGTATTGTGTCATGTTGGCTACTAGGGGTATAACCTGCTTTCTTCCAGCTTGCATCATTACTCTTATCAGAGCATAAATTTAGATTCCTCGCAACCCAATCAATACCAAATAAGTGGCTTATTTAGATCTTATTATGAACTCCTTGCTTGGAAACCATTCGAACATCCAGTGTACCTGTTCATCAATAGAATTATTGAAAAGGTGTACCTATCCTTGAGCATTCATAGGCTTTGCAAATCTATTAGGAGCAAAGGTCACTTTCTTTGGGCAGTGATTGGCAATGTAGTCATTCATTGTCCGAAGAAGAAATTCCTGACGGTAGTCATCTCTTTGGAGATGCTCCAACAACCATATCTATTACTGGAGTTTGCACCCCTCAAAGTAACCAGCCCCGTGCTAGCATCGGTCCATGGATCGATACATTTTCACTAATATCATGGGAAAATAGTGTAGGTGTGTCCCTCAATTCCTTCCATCATGGTTCTGGCAACCATGGCTAGTCGAGTTTGAATTTTCCCTCCTTGCATCAGGAAGATCAATAACCCCAAGAAACATACTGTGAAGACGTAAACCCGACGATGAATTTGCCCAACAGAAGTAATGGACAATTCTTCACGATACAACCATTACGATTTTCTATGTCCATACCGTTCGTACAAAAAGTCGAATGGAATTTAAAACATCTTTCGGCAGCTTAGTTCAACATTCTTCTTGATGCCGAACTATTTCGGAAAATTGCAAGGTGTATGATTTTATGGTACCAACAAACCCGGACTGTCCCAGGGAATTTTAGCGAAACCTCCGATTTCATCCAAGAGTGGGGTCATCTCCAAGTGTCCGAATCGAAAGACGACCCTATTCTCATCCCAAAACATAGTGGCAGCCTCAATTAACTCCCTGCTTGGCTGAATATCCATCAGGTATGACAAGTTACCCATTATCCTTCTTGCATGATTCCTGTCACACTGAGAGGTCGTTCCACCAATCGATCAACTTGGATAAATGTTTTGGACCATAGCGAACCTAGGAACATCATGCTTTATTTTTTGCATTGAAGAAAAGAGTTAGCCCTTCCCCCTCCTGATTTGATTAATTGAGCGATAATAATCTACACGTTGGAACATTTTCTCCAAGCAATGCACATTGTATGAATGTGTCCCTCGGGATTGTAGAGATTCCTTTGTACATTGGACAAGGTTTATCTAAACGGATATAATACGCCATGGGTATTTAATCCATCCTAGGTTTAACATGATGCATGCATATTTCAATCAGAGTAGGTTTCTAAAAAGGATCTAGACTGACACTCTCAAGCGGACAACTTGATAGGGAAAGGCACAAGACAGTCGACTGCACTGCTGATCGACTAGTCTACTGCAAATAAGCCTTTCCGATTTAAAAGAGTATTTTTGGAAAATGCAAAAACTCATCAAGCGCCACTATATTGATAATAGGCACTAGTGGAATATAATGTTAAAAGCATGCTTAAGAAAAAACAGTAAATATAGTCAAGTAATTTTACATGGTGAAAAGTACATAAAGACAATATTAAATAATGCGATAAAATAAGAAAGGAGAAAAAGGAAAAGGAAAAACAAAGAAAATAGTTAGCATGTTTCAAAAAGTTCAAAAATCATAGTTAAACCTTCATGGTATAACAATTTCGAGCAAGTAAAGGGACGGGAAAAGGATGTACATGAAAGAAGTGAAATAAAGCAATTCAATGACCAACCCCACACAAGCAAAATTTGTTATGGTAAAAGCCTATGTAATCCCCATCAGAGTCGCCATGCTGTCACGCCCCGTTTTCTCGCGAAAGCGGGTCTCGACATGTGATAACTCTTTTAAATCGGTATTAAAAGAGAAAAGTCTCCACCTAACAATTTTAAGGTATGTTAGGGAGCCTTTTCTGGTGGTTATGGGGTTACACCAAGGATCTGCACTCAGCCCGTTCTTATTTGCCTTGGCGATGAACGCACTGATACACCATATCCAAGGATAGGTGCCATGGTGTATGTTGTTCGCTGATGATACAGTTCTGATTGATAAGACGTGAGGCGCCGTTAATGGGAGACTGGAGGTATGAAGGCAGGCCCTGGAGTCTAAAGGTTTCAAGTTGAGTAGGACTAAGACGAAATATATGGAATTTAAGTTCAGCGACGTGAGGGGGGAAGCGGATATGGATGTCAGGCTTGACTCACAGGTCATCCTCAAGAGAGAAAGTTTTAAGTAGTTAGGGTCAATTATTCAGGGAGATGGGGAGATCGACGGGGATGTTACGCACCGTATTGGGGTGGGGTGGATGAAATAGAGGTTAGCATCTGGAGTCCTGTGTGACAAGAATGTGCCACCGAAACTCAAAGGTAAGTTCTATAGAGCGGTGGTTAGACCGGCCATGTTGTATGGGGCTGAGTGTTGGCTAGTCAAGAATTCACATATCCAGAAGATGAAAGTAGCAGAAATGAGGATGTTGAGATGAATGTATGGGCACACTAGGCTGGATAAGATTAGGAATGAAGATATTCGAGAGAGGGTGGGCGTGGCTCCGGTGGACGACAAGATGTGGGAGGCACGACTTAGATGGTTCGGACACGTGCAGAGGAGAAACCTAGATGCCCCGGGCAGGAGGTGTGAGCTGTTGGCTTTGACAGGTACGAGAAGAGGTAGAGGGCGGCCCAAGAAGTATTGGGGCGAGATGATCAAACAGGACATGGCGCGGCTCCAGATTTCCAAGGACATGGCTCTTGATAAGAAGGTGTGGATGTCAAACATTAGGGTTGTAGGTTAAAGGGTAGTCGACCAGTTTTTCTCTTTGTCCCGGTTTCCCTCTTTGTACCGATGAGTATGATAGTGTTTTGTCTAGCACTGCTAGAGATTTATGTTGTGTTTCACACTTTTCCATAATATTTGTGTTACTGCTTTTATATTTATTTGTTGTCTCTCACATTGCTGATATTATTTTTTGGGTTTTGTTGTCACAGATCTATTGTCTCTGAGCCGAGGGTCTCCCGGAAACAGCCTCCCTACCCTAGGTCTGCGTACAGTCTACCCTCCCCTGACCCCACTGGTGGGATTTTATTGGGTTGTTGTTGTTGTTTTCTGTTTCGACTAGTCCATATTACCAATGATCGGGTGAGGGCTCAAATTACCTCAAATAGAAGGTTTTAGGTACTCTCCTAGGTCCACAACTGTGGTTATTGGCCGAATTCGATACTATGTGAGATTTATCAAATTTATAGCTATTTATCCTAAGTAGGCATGCAAAATGAGTTCATTATTAAACTAAAGGAGCAATGGTCTAGGTAAAAAATTTGTTATTTCTAAGTGAAATGAGATAATTAGCGAAGAAATAATGCGCTAATAATGAAAGAAATAATCTGGAAGAGTAAACTTCATTCATTAACAAACTAATAAGTACAACTCTTTAGAGACTAGAAGGTGTAACTTAGTTGAATCCGGATTCCCACAAACTAAATATACAGGGACTAAATAAGCATAATGGGGGTCCTAAATATTTAAGCCTAAAGGATCGCCCCGTGCTACATAGATAATACTTTGCAACCTTTCGATTGCAATGGTTGCTCATATTATCCATCGAGCATAGACTTTTATCTCCAGCTACCCAATTATTATCTTTAAGTTTCTAACCTAAAGAGCACTAATTCGATTCTAGGTCGTACCCTACTTGTGCCTACCCATCCCATGCTTATGGTCCATGAAGTATTGGACCTTTTATATAGGCAGTTCTCGACTCATCCTAGGCTGCTCAAAATTAAAAGACTAGGAGCCACGTAATATAAACAAATAGGACTCCATATAAGGCAACAATTATCACTTATGTTTACCTCCACAGATAGATTCATATGCACATCGAGTAATTGTCAAACAACAACGATAGGCAATAGCAGAATAGACAGGGAAATGCTCTTCTAAGACAAACTGTTGTGTATGGAATAATTATGTCTAAGGCATGGTCTCTATATGAATACGCAGATGATCAATTATAATTAATCAAGCTCAGAATTCATACGCGGGTAATCAAAAAATTGGACTTCCTTTTTAAAGTCATATAGGCAAGATTTCTAAACGATTATTTTGGACTATTTTTAGATAGATCAGTAGTTAAGTGATGCAAATCCTTAATTACAGACCCTATAGTCACGATCTCTAGGAGGATAAGTACGGATAACACGGTTGAAGGACATATTAGCACAAGTAGTTTCAACTATGAAACTACTTAACATAGACTCCTATAGGCATGATAGCTAAGTGTTGATTTCTAATACATGATTTATAAGTAGAGGAGTAAATATTCGAACAAGTTAACTTGATGTTTGTCCTATAGGCATGTCTTCTAAACAAGTTATAAATTACATTAGCCGCATTGAATCAACAGTTACTTAGGGTCCTAGATCATGATTTCTAATCGAATATACAAAGTTGATGGTCCTATAGGCATGCTGTCTATTTTCAGGTAGTGCATAGAATTAAAACACGACAAACAAGTAGCAAGTAAGGTCATTCGGACCCGATAGGCATGTTTTCTACCCGTTTGTACGAAAATTAAAATACTCTAACCCCTTTTAACTAATTTCCCCCACCATTTGTTTTTTCTCAAATTATTACAGGCCCAAAAAAATTTACTATAGACCCAATTACAAATGTGAAGTAACCTAGTAATACATCCGGGCCTTCAAGTAGGCTTAAGACTTCAGATGGACGGTGGCCCAAAACTCTAGGTGCTGATGATATACTTCAAACCTCCATTCCAAAACCTGACCCAACAGTCCAGGCCCAAATATATAAGGAATTCCCTTATCCACCCATTATAAATTACAACCAATGAGTGTATGAAGACACGAATGACAACCCATGTAAGCCAAACCTTTCAAATAACTTCAAATTCTAGGCGGGAGCAAACATACATCTTGCTCATAGCACTACAACTAGCAAGTGCATGTGTTTCTAAATAAACACCCCGAGGACACAAACAGGAAACACATTTGACAGCCACATGAAGACTCCTATAGACACATACATTATGGATGATATGCAGAACACATAGAATGAACACATACGATAGGTTCCTAGGTTTATCAAACAGGTTCAAAGTGACAAAATCACAGGGATGGGTTCCATAGTCAGGACTTAATCACAAAGAGTATCAAATAGGGGTTCGAGGTAAACATAGTCATGATCCAATTCTTAAAGGATAGCCAAATAGGAGTTCCTGCTAGACAACCAATTATGAGGGGATGATAGTTCATGTAGGCAAGACTTAACAGGAAATCTAGATGATACATAATCAATAGCTTATTCAGAAATACTCACATTAAAGACCTAAGATGAAACCTACAGTAACACATGATCAATGTCTAACTATGAAAAGATAGCAATCCACATAGGGAAGCCCTAACATGATAGTTCTAAAGCAAGACACAATCAAAAACTAACTCTGAGAAAATACCCAAATAGAAGCCTTTACAGGAGAGATTTTGTTATGAAAGAGAACTGACGTAAGAGAATGGTCAAGAGACAATTCAGAGAAACCAGTAGATAGTGATTCACACATGAAGAATTTGTCATGAAATTCTATAGTACGCATGTTCAGGAAAACAACTCTGAGATGATATGACTCTTCCCAAGAAGGTCTTAAAACAAAAATCTAAAGCAAGGCATAACCATGAAATCATCACAGGGCAGAAATACAAAGTTAGGGTCAATATAAGCATAACAAATCAACTAGGGGGCAAATACCCAACTTTAAGAAGGTCGGAATTCATTCAAGTCAATTGCACATAGTGAGACTAAACTACACGTGTTGAGGCTTATTTTAAAATCTTAGACTTAGGCAGAGTTGAGACTAGTGAGCAAGGAAACTGTAGAACATCACATGAACCATGAAATTACAGTGAAACATGTAACGACAGTGCAACACTAGAAATTCACAAATAGTAGAGAAACTGAGTCATGCTTTCTTCATGTAGGTTCATACAATATTGCCACACAGAATTCACATAGACATGATCATATAGAAGGGAGAGAGAGTGATTAAGGTCTTTTTACGGGAATCGGGGAGGGGTGTATATAGTATTGGTTAATATAGAAACGAATCACTTGAAAACCCATCCCTACTCGGAGTAGGGTAAAATCATGCGAACCATAGTTTGTCAGAAGGTCAAAATAGCCAAAGATCTCACTGAATCGAACCTGTATAACCTTATTTTCAGTGTATACAGACAGAATGTCGACTGAATCTTGAGGAATAGAAGTCAATTGGCTTGATTCTGAGAGATAGTACTTGACAAAACCTTGTAATTACTAAGTGATTCACTGGGCATGCAAATAATAACTTAGTAGCTCATATGAGGTAAGTAAATCACGGAGAGATTCCGTGGTGTGGCCGGATTTGGAGAGGATTTAGTGCGAGGCGGCTAGGGTTTCATAGAAAAGAGGAAAGATTTGAGAGAGTTTGAGGGCGGCTGGGAGGAGACGAATAAGGATTACGGTTTGGGGGGGTGGGTAATTAAAAATAGAGGTGTTGTTGTGGGCCGTTGATCATTTGAGATCAAGGGCTAGGATTTAATGGACATAGGGCGGGTTAGGAGACGGGTCCTGACTGGGTTTCTACAAGGGGTCATTTGGTTTTGGGCCTGGGGTAGTTAAGCTAGTGTTTGGACCATTAAGGTCCGAATTTTGGATTGTTTTTGGGCTGGAATGAAAGCATGCAAAAAATTAAAGGAATAAAAGTAATAAAATAGCTATTAGATAAATAAACTGTTATTTATAAAATTTAATACTTTTAAAATAATGATTGAGGATTGTGAAATATAAAAATGCTATTTTGAAATACATAATGTAATAAATACAATAATTTATAAAATATATGCTATTATGGCAAATAATGTGTAAACTGTATAAAAATGCAAATATAATCGTATAAAATTATAAAAGTTGCATGAAATGTAGATGATTAATTGGACAATTAATCACTCAGAAATAGTTTTAAAGAAACAATAAATGAATACTTACCAATTAAATGTTGAAATCTATTTAAAAGGCTTATAAAAATGGAATTAATTTATTTGTGCAAATCTTCCATGATAGTAAAAAGATTGAAATTTAAAACTTATTATGGGATAGTAGCACAGGAAAATATTCTACAAATGTTATTAAAATATTTGTAAAAATAATACATTATAAAAATACTGGCTAAGTGGTAAACATGAGGCCAAAATTGAGTATCAACAACCTATTGGCCAAAGCCTGAACATCCAAAGCTAACTGTCTCTCCCAAGCCGGGGTAAAAGCAAGACTACCCATGCTCTCATCGTTGCTACTCAAAGTGTCAGCCACCATATTGGCTTTCCCGGGATGATAAAGAATGGTGATATCATAGTTCTATACTATCTCTAACCACCTCTGTTGCCTCAAGTTCTGATCCTTTTTCTTGGTTAAGTACTGGAGGCTCATGTGATTCATGAACACCTCGTACGATACGCCATAAAGATAATGCCTCCAAATCTTGAGCACGAGAACAGTGTTTGCTAACTCCAAATCGTGCAATGGGTTATTCTTCTCATGAGCCTTCAACTGACACGAAGCATAAGTAATCACTCTCCCCTCCTGCATCAACAGACACCCAATGAATCCATGAAGCATCACAATAAACTGTATTAGAACCCGTTCCCGAAGGCAAAACTAGAACTAGAGTTGTAGTCAAGGCAGTCTTGAGCTTCAAAAAGCTCTTCTCAAAATCATCACACCACCTGAATGGGGCACCCTTCTGCGTCAATCTAGTTAGTGGGGTTGCTATAGATTAAAACCCCTCCACAAAAAGGCGATAATACCCAGCCAACCCAAGAAAACTCCAGATCTCAGTAGCATTAGATGGTCTGGGCCAACTTTGAACTGCCTCAATCTTCTTTGGATCCACCTTAATCCACTCACCGGATACTACATGACCCAAGAATGCCACCGAGTCTAACAAAAACTCTCCCTTAGAGAATTTATCATATAGCTTCTTCTCCCTCAAAGTCTGGAGCATGATCCTCAAATGCTTCTCATGATCCTCCCGGTTGTTAGAATATACCAATATATAATCAATAAACACATTCACAAATGAATCTAGATAGGGATGAAATACGTTGTTCATCAAGCGCATCAAAGCTGTCGGGGCATTGGTCAACCCAAACGACATCACCAAAAACTCATAATGGCCATAGTGGATCCAAAAAGTAGTCTTCAGAATATTTGAAGCCCTGATCTTCAACTAGTGGTACCCCTATCTCAAGTCGATCTTCGAGAATACCCTAGAACCCTAAAGCTGATCAAACAAATCATCAATAAGTGGTAGTGGGTACTTGTTCTTGATAGTGACATTGCTCAACTGCCTGTAGTGAATGCAAATCCTAATATAAACATCTTTCTTCTTCACAAATAGTATCGGTGCACCCCATGATGACACACTAGGCCTGATAAACCCTATCAAGCAATTCCTGAAACTGTTCCTTCTATTTATTTGATTCCACTGATGCCCTGCTATATGGTAGAATAGAGATGGGCTGAGTGTCCGTCACCAAATCAATATCAAAATTAATATCCCTATCAAGTTGCATGCCCGGTAGGTCTACTGGAAACACACTTGGAAACTACCTCACTACCAGAATTGACTTAACTAGGAGTATGACCAATCAAACCTCTCTACTCCACCCTCGGCAACCCCAGCATCGCCAGCATCACGGTCTTATCATGACAATCAAGAATAACATGGTATGGAGATGGCCAATCCATACCCAAAATCACCTCAAAATCAACCATGCTGAGTAGCAACATATCAACTCTAGTCTGATAACCCCCAATAGTAACCATACAAGACTGATAGACACGGTCCACCACAATATATTCACCCACCGGTATAGATACATGAACATGCATATCTAAAGAATCACGAGACATATCCAAATAATGAGCAAAGTATGATGACACATATGAATAAGTGGAACCAGGGTCAAATAATACTAAACCATCCCTATGGCACACGAAAACAATACATGTGATCACGGTGTTAGAAGTAATTGCCTCTGGCCTGGCGGGAAATGCATTATAATGGGCCTGCCCATTACCTGGATTACCTCCCCTCTAGGGCGACCTCATCCTGTATGACCTCCACCCGAGATGGTTGTGCTGGTGGTGTAGCAACAAGTGCGGGAGTCATAGTTTGGGCCCCCTACTGCACTGGACCTCTGTAAAAGTTGAGGCAATACTTCCTCACATGCCCCAACTCCCCACACTCATAGTAGCTGTGGGAATGACTATGGGGCCTGAGTCGGACCCCGTGAACCAGAATAACCGCTGGAAGTTCCCAGTACTGACAAACCCTGAACTGATAGAGTGCGATAAAAGCTCTAGCTGGGAGTGCACTGAATGAAGACTGCTATGAAGCTTCTCGGCTAGGAGGTGGCGAATGATAAACTGGTCTGCCGGATTGGCCTCACAGAAGTCGACCTCGGCCTCAAGACTAGGCACCACTGAATCCTCCAAAATGATGAGGCCTCTTATCTGAGGTCGTCTCTCTAACTTGACCTCTAATGCGATCTATTGCACCCTATTTTGCAATAGTCAAAACAAGATTCAAAATTGTGGTTTCTTTGTTGTTTATAAAAGCGAGTCGCCGTCTAATATTTTAAAGTATACTAGGGTAACTATGTATACCTTTAAATAATGTGTTTAATGACTATTTATAAGTGTAAGAAAAAACTTAAAAGAAATAACCAAGTCCAAAACCAAAAAGGAGACAAATTAGCTTTGAAACCCGGACACCGCGCGTCGCAGCGCATAATGCAAGGAAGGACCTCTCGTTGGGCAGCGCGTCGCGAGCTTTGTGGCAAAGGAATTCTCTCGGGTTGTCTTGCTGCTGCCCAACTTTGCTTCACTTCGTTGCCATTTGCTGCGTTGAAGTACAAAGGTAATCTCTTCCTTTCTTTATTCTTTACTTGCATCATTGCATAATTATTGTCTTGTCTCCCATCATTAGGTAAATAATTAACTAATTAAGAGTGCATAAAACACAATTCAAAATATTTACTTTGATCCCAAATTTCATCTCCAGAGTACCTATATTATCCATTATCATTCAAATAAGTATAAAAGCCCATAATCAATCTATGTTGGGGATATTCAATATTGAATATAACCAAAGAGCATTAAAAATGTTAGTAAATTAATATCGAAACATATATAAATATTCCCAACATCACCATCCCATTAAACCTTTGCTCGTCCTCGAACAAAATAACTATAATAGACGAAGCAAAATTAAGCTCCTAGCAAACAAAGCACGATACAACTATGACCATGGTTGATAGCAATATTTAAACTCGAGTATATTCATTCAACACACACTTTCCTTTTGACGTATGCCATACTTCATAAATATTCACAACAAAAGCAACATGCTCATAACATTCCTAGCCTAAAAAACAAACTCACTTTCACAATGCACTCATGACTTGAACATTCAACATCGTAGAGAGCTCTAATAACGTTATCTATCCCTTGTGAAATCATGTACCCTCACAACAAAATCAAGGAGAATAAGAAGAATCCACATATTCAAATCTCATGATCAAATATAGTTTAAGGACTCACATATATCAATGAAATCTCTCACACTCACACAGAAGCCATAGGCATGCAATATATGTAAACCTCTACTATTGTAGGCCCGCTCAATCTAAAATCAAATTAGGCTTTGTCAAGGTTGTAATGTAGGTTAAAGGACGGGTAGGATATATTTAGGAATAGTTGCCAACCCTCCTAAGCACTACAGGTCACAAAGTTAGCTTTAAGCGCATATTTCTTCAACCCAACTTCAATTTCACAAACAAGATCACCCTTGAAAATGTTTTCTCTTTGTTTAAGCACTATGTTGCTTTATACATACGAGCAAAGACAAGATATATTACTTCTTTTGCGACCTTCTTTTCACGACCTTGAATTCCCACCTTCGGGACCGTGATGGCGCCTAACATTTCACATGCTAGGAAAGCTAATGTTTGATGTAGAGATTAACCATTTTTAATAATTCAAATCAAATGAAAACCAATAAGCTAAATAAACTGAAATAAAGTAGATAAATCTGATAAACAGCGATATCCAAATACATATCCCAGAACTGGTGTCACGAATATACGAGCGTCTAGAGTACTACAAATAATAGTTTGAATGAAAGCATAACTGCCTGAATCGAAATAAATAGCTAGGGTAATGTAGGAGGGGACTTCAGGGCTGCGAACGCTGTGCAGTTGTACCTCAATTCTCCATCAAGCATCAGATCTGCACAATCTACTGACCGCCGCTAGGACCGACTCCAAAATCTGCACAAGAAGTGCAGAGTGTAGTATGAGTACATCCGACCTCATGTACTTTGTAAGTGTCGAGCCTAACCTCGACGAAGTAGAGATGGGAATAATATTAATAACAAGGAAGAA